ATCTTATTTAAGATTTTTTTAAATTAATAAATTCTATTTAGTAAAATTGAGAATATTATTATTTTTTTCTAATTTTTAAAACTAAGAACATTATCAATTTTGCATAATAATGTTTTAGACAATTGTTTTACTAATTGATGGGAAAAAGACAGAGCACGAGATATAATATTTTTGTCTTTTTACTTATTGGTTTGATTCAACCATCCAATAAAATCGAGAATATTAACAGTTTTTTCCAATTTTAAAATTGAGAATATTATCAATTTTTTTTTTTTTTTAGTTTTGCACATCAATATTCTATCATCATGCTCCTTTATATACACAAAATTTTCAGTTTTGCATAAAAAATAATTAAATTTTTTCAATTTTTTGTTGCACATAATTTTTTTTTCAATTTGAAAGTTGATGTTTTAAAGTTTTGAAAATTAAAATAAATGTCAAATCATCATATTTCTTTATAAATAATCATAAATGATGAACAATTATTTTTTGAAAGGCAATTCCGACTATTAAAAATTTAATGAGACTTGAAAGTCTAAAAAATCTTAATTAGGACTTAATGGAATATAAGTTCATAAATTAAAATTTATATGCAAATGTCCCATAAAATTTATATAAAAAATACTATAAAAATAATATAGTAATCTGATTGTTTGGTTTGAGCTTTCTGGATTAAGTTTTTTGAAAACTGAGTTTTTTAGTTTTTGTGTTTTTTTTGTTTTTAGTGAATATTTTTAAAATTTTAAACATTTTTTTTACTTTTTTAGATGTACCTTACTTAGATGTATCTAAAAAGTAAAAAAAAATGTGAAAAACTATTTTAAAAAATTAAGTAATACATAAAAATATAAAAAAAATATACTGAATTCTTGTATTTTTTTTGTATTTATGGTTTTTAGTGAATTTTTAAAAGATTTTTTTTATAATTTTTTTACTTTTTAGATGTATCTATGTTAAGTGTGTCTAAAAAGTAAAAAATTTCAATAAAATATTAAAAAAATTCAGTAAAAACAAAAAAAAATACAAAAAATACGAAAATAGAATTTTCTGAAAACTGTTTTTAGAAAAATGGAACCAAACATAGTGAATAGTATTTTTAAAATTGTAAGGGTGTGTTTGGTAACGTTTACGTTTTCAGTTTATATTTACAAAAATTTTATAAACTGATTTTTGTTTATTTTTAGAAAAATAAAAATTACAAACGCGTTTGGTAATTGACAAAATGTTTAAAACATTTTAAAAATATAAAAAAGAGTGAGAAATGGCAAGTGGTGGCAAGATGCGGCGAAAGACGGTGGTGAAAAGTGGTGGCGGTAGGTGGTGGTGGCTGGTGGTGGTGGGTGGGTAACGATGGCGGGTAGTAGGTGGTAGCGAGTGGGTGGTGGCGGTGGTGGTGGTAGGTGGATGGCGGATGGTGGGTAGTGGTGGGTGGTGGCGGATGGGTGGTGATGGCGGGTGATGGCGGGTGGTGGGTGGGTGAGTTGGGTGAGTGGGTGACGGTGGCGGGTGGTAGCGAGTGAGTGGTGGTTGTGGGTGGTGGTGGCAGGTGGTGGGTGGTAGTAAGTGGGTGGTGGTGGGTAGTGGTGGTGGTGGTGGTGGGTGGTAGGTGGAGGTGGTTGGTGGTGGCAGGTGGTGGATGGGTGGTGAGTGGTGGTGGCAAGTAGGTGGCGGGTAGTGGTGGCGGGCGGTGGATGGTAGTGGCGGGGGGTGGGTGGTAGATGGCAGGTGGGGGGTGGTGGCGAGTTGGGTGGAGGTGGTGGTGGTGGCGGGTGGTGAGTGGTAGTGACAGGTGGGTGGCGGATGGCGGGTAGTGGTGGGTGGTGGCGGCGGGCGGTGGATGGTAGTGGCGGGTGGTGGGTGGTAGTGGTGATGGTGGTGGTAGTAGTGGCAAGGGGTGGGTGGTGGTGGCAAGTGGGTGGCAAGTGGGTGGTGGTGGCGAGTGGTGGATGGTGGTGGCAGGTGGGTGGTGAGTGGTGGTGGCAGGTGGTGGTGGAAAATGGTGGGGGTGGTGATGGTGGAAGACGGTGGTGGAAAATAGTAGCGGGTGGTGGCTAGTGTTGGGTGGTAAAAAAAAAAAACTCAAAACTCAAAACGGAAACATATTTTTTGTGTTTTTATTTTTTGGCCAAATTTATAAACTGAGACCACTGATTTATAAATCAAAAATTTTACCAAACAAGTTTTTATTAGAATTTTAAAAATTTTTGTAAATATAAACAGAAAACTGAAAATGTAAGTGTTACCAAACGGCACTTAAGTGACTTTAATGAGATTTTTTATTTGAAATAAATCAACACACATCTGCTAGTATATGAAGGGAGGACACATCAAAGTCTCAATCAAAAAAGGTGTATAATGAGTAATGATACATAATTTTTATTTGTGAGTTTTAAATGAAACTTTAGTAAAGTAAAACAGAGAGCGAGTAGAAAGAGATAGAAAGAGAATTGTTAACTCTACCATCACATAAATATTTTTTACATCATTAAAATTATATTAAAATTCTCAAATTAGAGCTCTGAAATATTATTGATAACAATGACCATGGCCATGATCATGATGGCAGGTGCTTCATTTTCATTTTGACAGGCAAACCTATGCATACCATATTTTTTGAGGTCATATATCATATTCAATAGTAATCAGTATCATTCAACGTCTAGCTGTAGACAGCAAAAGATTGCTACATTGATGTCTACTACTTTCTGTCATTGCCTTCAATAAATAAATAAATAAATTTGCAATAAAGAAATTAGGGCGAGTTACACTAATCGTTTCTATAATTTAGAACTCATATCACTTTGGTTCCTGACTTTTTAATTGAGATATATTTGATCATAAATTTAAAATCTTGTTTCAAATAAAAATAATTGAAAATATTATTGTTTAATTTCAAGGGTAAAATTGTCAATTTGATAAAATATAAACTAATTTGATAAAAATAAATGCCAATTTTTTTTAAAAAAAATTTAAAAATTGTTTCTATCCACAAAAGATAAAATTATATAAAATTGATAAATCTTCTAAACATTTATTTATTTATTTGACCAAATTAATTTTTATTATGTGTTTGGATGATAGTTATGTAATGGGTGATTGTTAGAATTTAATGTGTAATCGATATATTTAATATATGACATGTTTTTAGTTTTGGATTTTTTGATTTAACGAATTGGTTTAATAATGATATCGAAGTTGTCACTATATTTGACTTTTGAAAAAATAGAAACTAATTTAATGAAAATAAAAATAACCACCCATTATATGATCATCATCCAAACACATAATAAAAATTAATTTGATAAAATAAATATATAAATAAATGTATAAAAGATATATCTATTTTATATAATTTTATTTTTAGTGTGTAGAAATAATTTTTAAAAATTAAAAAATATTTTTGACATTTATTTTGTCAAATTAGTTTATATTTTATCAATTTGACAATTTTGCCCTTAAAATTAAACAATGGTATTTTCAATTGTCCTTATTTGAACCATGATTCAAAATCCAAGTTCAAATGTGTCACAATTGAAAAGTCAGGAATCAAAGTGACACAAGTCTCAAATGGAACCGTTAGCGTAATTTGCCCAACAAATTAAGACAACTGTGTGTTCAGTATCACAAAAATTATACTCACTATTTAAATAAAGGGAAAATGGATTGTAAATTCACCTATAAGGCATTAGAATTAAGGATTGATCTTTGGAACACTAGTAGTGAGAATCACTGCCTCTTTAATATATATATATTTTTTATATATATTATTGTCTTTCCTCTTTCTTGTCTCTGTGTGTGTTTTGTTTTTAAATCTAAACGTTAAATTGTTACAACTTCAGTTTTATATATTCATTTTTAATAAAATTTATATTTTAGAAATTCTATTTTTGAGATCTTTCAAATATATCTATATATTAAATATGAAATTGTGAAGAAAAAAGAAAATTTTAAAGGTTTGCATTGTCGTAATTTAATTTTTTATTTTATTGACCAATAAAATTGCACTACGGTGCTCCGGAGTCGAGTTGGGCAGATTGCATGTCATCCATCAACGGATCAAAATGGGAAATAGGGTCACTGCTGTGCATTATGGACTTATTTTTATGATATGAGTACTTGATGCCTATCAAAAATCATATTAATCGGATATCAATAACTATATGATTGAATTACATATTTTTTATATTATTTCTCAAAAGAAAAACTTATTGTTTATTTTTTTTAGTTATCAATCATATAGTTGTTGATATCCGATTAACATGATTTTTGGAGACATGAAGTACTCAACAAATCTTATAAAATGATCGGTTAAAATCATAAAAATAAGCCGATAATGCACCTCAAATTAAGGCACAATAGTGATCCCAATTCTGATCAAACGGGGTTTTGGTTAAGAAAATCACATCCATAGCCAACAACCTATGGTTTCAAAATCCGCAAGAGCGATTTGGGCAAATTGGTAGGTGGATACGAATAAGGTGAAAATAATACAGATGAAACGATTTTGTTGACCGCAATGACTAGTCATTAAAAACACATTAACTGTTATTTGTAGCATGGGGCATGTGAAGAAGATTCAACATACAATAATTGACGCAGGGCATCCTCTCCTTCACACAATCAAGCAAGAGAGGCCCATCATGTAATAGAGTGGTGACTCAGGACAAGGGCATAGAGTAAGATCTGGCCTCATTCCCCTTTGCCCGCCTGCTGATATACACTCTTGTTATGATGCCCATGGATGTGGGTGGGTAATGAATGGATGGAGAATGGCAATGCACATGGTCAGAAGGGAACACCAAGAAGCTAAATGACCCATTTCTGAAGCATTGCTAATGCCTACACCATTCATGTCCTTCCTCACCATGTCATTGATGCTTCGCACAGCTTCCACTTTACGCTTTCCGTCAACTCTGCCAATCCACTTCATTTTCGTTCAGAAGCTCCTTTCCCCAGTTACCTCACTGTGTTCAATTCATCTTGTGGAGGACGGTCTCTGATTGTTTGAGGACACTGCAGTTGGTCGGTGGTGAAGCTTGAGGCTGATCACTGCTCCACAGCCGGGGCTTGATGACTTGCTTTGAAGTTTACTTGATTTGGTGTTACTTGAAACAGCCTGGAATAAAAATAGATAAAGCTATGGAGATCAGATATTGCTTTCCTTGACTTGTTACAACTTTGTTCTTTATTTATATGTTGAAGATGTGGAAACATAATCCCAAACATAGGACAAACAAGGACCATAATTTACATGCACAGATATAATAGCTTAGCATTAGATTTTCAAGATGCATGAATAAATATATTTAAAGGCCTTCTTTGCATTGATGTTAAATACAAGGAGAATGAAAACATTTGGAATCCATGGTGAGAAGAATTTTGGTTGGCTGAGGATTCTTATATTTTATATCTCTGTATTGCCTTTAGGTCTCCCAATCTAATTTTAACAGCCAACCTCCTACATGACTTCACCCTTTATTTCAGATCTATCCATCCAAAATGCAACCACAATGTTTTCTGGTCCAAAAAGGCATTTCTTGCCAAAGAAATTCTAATGACGATGATTTCCGAAAAGCACACACTTCATAAGCATCAAATTGAAGCCAATATGTTCAAAAAGATCACCCCACTTTTAGAATGTTTTTTGGATGGGGTGGCCTATGAGAAACTATATGACTAAGACTTTACAAATATCTGGAATAAAAAATGAAGGGGATTGCAAAAATTCAGGACTTCAATAACTTAAAAAGTGCTACATAGGTTTGTTCATCCATATAATATGGAGCAGATGAAGAGCTAGTCAAAAATTAGCAATGAATGAAGTAAAGCAAGCATCTTGTGTGCAGTACAGTGTGAGAATTAAGAACATACCAAATTATGGGGGGGAAAAATCTATACGATATAACAATAAGGCCAGCCATGCTTTATGATTCCATATAATCTACAAATGATTAAAACATGAGCATTGACTAAAGCGTGTGGATAAAAATCAGGCATGATGATTGAATGGTGGAAAAGAAAGTTGTAGCCTGCAAGTAATTCGGCTTTGGGGCTTTCTGGAGTTGGTTTAAAATTATTCTAAATTCTTAGTTACCAGTTAGCCACAACATCGCAAGAGCATACAAATTTTGATAAAATATTTAAAACCAAATTAATATCTTGTGCTGGTTGGGTGGAGGGGCTGGATCATACATGTAAAATCTCAGATATTGGACCAGTCTCTCAAGTCAACTATGAATACTGGTCACCAAGAGAACAACATGTGCTCTGAGCAATTAGAATTCAGATAATCTTAATTCACATTCAACGGCTGGAAGCAAACAAACTTCTCAACTTCTTAAAATGAAGTATTAGCTTTATGTCCCAATCAACTTCTTTTTAGTACTGCATATCATCTACTACCTACTTCCACCTTTTTAAAATTAAATTGTTATTCTTTCTCTGTTCCCTTTCAGAATTTCTTCCTGTAATCATTTCTATTTGAATAAATAAATTAAAAAAAAAAAAAATTATGAATCTACTCTGGGAAGGATTATGATCTGAACAGTGACTTCATAGAAAAATGAATCTTGAAGCAGTTTTCATATATATACAATAAAAAATCACGAATCAACCATAGAACGCTGCTCAAAATAAGTATTGCAACAAGATTCCATTAGAACTTGGTGCTGTAAGCATCAACTGTTCCCTGTATTTGTACACAATCAAGCAAGAGAGGCCCATCATGTAATAGAGTGGTGACTCAGGACAAGGGCATAGAGTAAGAAAAGTAGATGGAACCCATGCCTTCTCATTTCAAAGGATCTGAAGCCCCCTGCAGGAAGCCTATATTTGTGTGAAGGGAAAATCTATTTTAGAAAGTGTATATATATAAGGTGTAATGAGAAAACTTCTCCCAAGTTTGGGACATATTGTAATTTTACTCATGTTTCATGTTAAAATCATAATCAAGTCATTATTAAGACAAATTAGATATATGAACTTGTCAGTTTCTCCAGATATGAGAATAAAGCATACACAAAATGTCAGTGTTAACAGACTTGTTTACAAACCTTCGGTGTTTCTTTCAAATCAAGACTTTTTCGGAATTGTTTAATGTCAGCTTCTGTCTTCTCCTGCAGATACAGTAATTTCCAATCTAAGCATCTTCAAATTATTCTTAGTGCAAGCAGGCAGTAATATATTATCTGAATAAAAATCTATACAGAAATGAAGCAATTTGATTCAATATGAATTAAGTCTAGTCCAACAAATGATCACAGTTTGGTTGTATCTCCTGGTAAATTTGTTAGCACTATTTAACATAGAGAAATCAAAGAAAAATCTGAATCTGATAATAAAGAATCCAGATATGGTGTAATAGCAATATGACATATATACAAAATGAGTTTATTCAGAGAATGTTCACCAAATTTATTTAATTTCAATACCCAAAAAAAAAAAAAATTAACTGCTAGAATTTATGTACCAGTTTATTTTCTTGAATTTGATTTGTCCCGGCCTTCTTTGCATGCTTTTTCTCCCCCAACTTCATGTAAAACTAAGATGAAAGAGGAAAACAGACAAATGAACAAGTCACAGCCATGATTCTTTTCCTTTTCTTTTTTTTTTTAAATAAAAATTAATAAAACAGCATGAGTTCTTGCCTCTTTCCTCCTTTCTGCCCGTTCCTCACTTTTGAAATTGAACACAGCCAAGCTTTGTTTCATGCCTGACTTAGTTGAATTCTCAACCTGCTTGGGCCTGCACAACAGTAACTCTATGTCAAACCTCAGAAGGTCAAAACATCCAAGTAATGAAGCATTGCATATGATGTTTCATAAACCTGTTTGCATTCTGACGTGCTTTAGGAACAAGCTTCTCTGAGGCAGAAGGCTTAGGTTCATGAACAACCTTTTTTGTCTTCAATTTCTTTTCACTGCTAATGAGAAGTATTTTTTAGCAGCATACCCATTGCAGATATAGATTTTCCTTGTGCAGAAATTCGAAAGGAATAAAATACCTTCTGTTATCATGAATAACTTTTGACTTTGAACCCTTAGGATCCTGTTAAGAATACCAGCCAATAACATGAGGGAAGAACAAATGAACAATATTCCAAAATAAGGGAATGCTACTTAAAAATATCAATGAAACAAAAACAAAAAAACAAAATGCATAATTGTCATTTTAAGAACATTAACTTGGGCCAGGGCAACATCCTATTGGAACCATTACTTCGGTATATTCAAAGGTACTTATAGATCATAAACAAATACTTGCCTCTGGTTTTGAAGTTCTGCATACCCAACGTGTGGTTAGAATGGCTGTGTGCGATGAGTGTTTTTCTGTTTTTGTGCTCTGTGAGTCTTCGCTTTTTGATCTAATATGTTTCTTTGCAGAGCATTTAGATGGCTCACTAGAAACATTTCTCTGAACCTGAGTGGAAGACTTCAATCTGGGCTTTGCAAGTTTGCTTTCCAATTTGGTCCCCGCCTAGAGTCAGGGCATCAAGTAAGACACGTGAAAAGTACAATGGGGCAAGATCTGATTTTTCCATCCATGAAAAATATATAAAAAAAAAATTGTATGCATGACACAATCATGTGCTGTAAGATAAAACAAAGCCATAAAGCTCATCTTTAGACATATCTTCTGGTTCACTGCATTATTGCTCTTAAAAAATATACAGGAAGACAGTAGTTTTTGACCCACTAGTATAGAAAGAGAAAGGTGCTATCAAACTATAACATGCTAAAAACACAAACCTTGGGGCAAGATTCTTGTCGGTGCTCCAAATTAACACTATCATCTTTCCCAGTGGAGTGACAATTAGTCGACAGATGCACAGGCTTACATGTCAAACCTACATTTGCTGATTTGTCATCTATGACTTCTTTTCCTTGCTCGGCATCAATGGCAGGTAAGCTTCCAGCTCCAGTTTGATATGCTTTGTCAGGGTTGGCATGTTCAGGAACTCCTTGCTCAGCTTCATTGACATTGTTGAGATCAGTTTGAAACTGAGGTTCAACACATGAAGTTCTCAAGTCACCTCGTACACATTCCATCAAGTCACAATCTCCATCATATTCTGAACCATCAAAACTCTCGTCAAATTGTACAGAATGACCACCTTCATTAGTGTGCTCAAATTCATCTTTGTAATCCATGTTCTCTGAGGTGTCATTTTCACTAGTTTGGCATTGTATACCATTTTGGCTGTCGGATGAACTTCGGCTCAAAAGGGCCTTCCTTTTGAAATGAGCTTCAAAATAAGCCTTCTTCTCAGTTACTGAACCTGGTTTCGAGTATTTCTCAACCTCTTCAAGATACCTGTTATGCGAGAAGGATGATCTCCTCTCCCAAGATAAGCATTCAGTTTCAAACCTTCCAAATGAGATTGATCCATTGTGTATAGAATCTGCCTGCCCAATTTAAGAAGAGCTTTGTTAAAAGAAGAAAAATTAGACCGCAACACAGACACTATATTGGAAGAACAGACGAGTTAAATTTATTAGTTGGTCATATCTTCGCTGAAGCAAAACATATGTAGTAAAATCAGCAATAACAGTCATTAGGTGCGTTTTAGCCATGAGTCAATGTCAGGTATTATAGTCTGTTCAAATAAAATTTAAAAATCTGCAGACTCATAAAATTCAACTAACATAATTATACAGTTGTGCACATCACAGCTCAGACACAAAAGAAATGCTTATGGTGAATGGTCTCTGCAACACTAGCAATACCTACAATTAATTCCAGAATTTTAATACATGAGTCAATGTCAGGTATTATAGTCTGTTCAAATAAAATTTAAAAATCTGCAGACTCATTAAATTCAACTAACATAATTATACAATTGTGCACATCACAGCTCATACACAAAAGAAATGCTTATGGTGAATGGTCTCTGCAACACTAGCAATACCTACAATTAATTCCAGAATTTTAATACATGTTTCATTTTTTCTAATAAAGAATGTTTGCCTTGCGCTCAACTTTCAATACCCCAAATTTGCTGCTCCAGCTAGGCTGACATATCTAAAGCTTACTAATACCAAATAAAACTTTTAGATTTGAATCTTGAATGTTTTGTCTCATAATTTTGCCCTACATAATGAGAAAGGATCATTGCTCTCATTACAAAGCACAAGCTGCAATTATTAACCATATTAAGCCGAACTTTAAATTCCCACAAAAATACAACTGAATGTAAGTTATGTAGAAAGATGAGGGCAGATCATATCCATGGAAATGAGTGCTTAAGTGGAACTCCCTACTCAATGCTACCAACAATGAAATACAATTCAATCTAACGACAACATGCTTTCATAGAACATAGAACACAACACATTATCAATTTAGAGGGAAAGCTAGAACCAATGTTTAAAAAACAAAACTGATAAATGACATCCCAAAATTACGGATCCATCGACAAATACACATATGCACATATAATGTATATATCAATCTTAAAAATTAAAATGTAAACAGAAAGTTAAAATATAAATAAATATTAAATCAATGTCTTGTGTATATTGTTGGATTGCACATATACATTGTCGGTTGGGCTCATCTCGGAATAGCCTTACCTTTTGACACAATTGGTGTGGGGAGCTCTTGGCTTCAAGTCACTCTGTATTTATTTATATTGTTGTGTCTATTCTCTAACAGCCTAAACTTATGAGATAATTGGTGACTTACCGGAGATATACATTGATTTTAAAAGAGTCTAACATAGCCAAAAACCACTAAAAAAGTCAAAAAGTCATAAAGAAATAAAAAAAAAATCAATAATTCATTTTCATCCTTGGTACTTTTTGGTCTTTTTTTTTTTTTTTTTTTTTTTTTTTTTTTTTTTTTTTTGTGTGTATAAAAAGTCAAAAAGTCATTCTCAAACCAGACAATTCCGGTTTTTCACCTCATAATTTAGCCCAAAAAAAAAAACACCAAAAAACCCACCTCCCAAACCAATTCTTAGTTCCATGGCTAGTACTTAGCCAAATCCACCAGCATAGGCAAATAAAGGGCACGGCTTGGTTGCAACAATGAAATTTTGAGCACAAAAAGGCAGTAATTTGGTCACTACCAATGGAAATCTTGAAAGAGAAGAAACAAACAAGTATTTAGTAGTAAGAACCAATCACCAAAATGCAAATTGTTGGAGTTTGATTACACCAACACAAATCATTTATCATTAGCGAAAATCACAGTTAAGATCCATAATTTGCATGCATAAAACTGAAAATAATACCCGAAAACTAAGACTAAAAGGTTCTTCAATTTCACCAGCCATGGCCACACAATTCAAGCATCAATCGCTCGCATTCCACAATTATCTGCATCAATTTCAAAATTTTTACTTAATTAACCTTCCATACTACAAATTAAACACAAATAGTCATCCAAAAAAAAAAAAATCAAAGCACAAACATTCTAACAAATTAGCACATCAACTCCATCACAGCCTCCATTACATAACACATCCACACACACACACATATATATATATATATAGAGAGAGAGAGAGAGAGAGAGTTACAAGATCAGAGGCGACGTTGAACCAGATTTCGAAAGGAATCTAAAGAAAGCGTGAAGTAACGGAGACTCCAAAAATAAGGAAGTCGAGAGAGAGAGAGAGAATTCTTCTTTTGTGTAACAGTTAGTTATAAATGAATTTGGTTTAGTGAGATCATATTCTTAAGAAGGTCCATCAATTATCATGGTCTGTCCTCCTTCTCGTCTTCTTCTGCTGTTCACTAGCCGTTCGATGATAGCTTTCTGATGGATCTAACGGCTCAGGATTTCGGTAATTGTTTTGCGACAAAAACGGAGGAATTACAACGGTCGGGTTCCCGCCACGCGCTGGGTCGAACCGTTTAACTTTGGGGAATAACCGTACAGTGCTACAGCCCCGGATGGGTGGGTTCAGTGGTTTGAAGGTAGGCCAGTGGTTAGGGATCTGTCCAAGAAGAAAAATACTAAAGATTTCAAATAAATTATTAAATATTTTACTAAATTTCTCATACGGCTATGGGACTTACACACATATGGGTTTGTGTGAGTCCCACACATTTGATAAATTATTTAAAATCTTTAACATTACTCGTCCAGAAACACTCTCATCTTGGTTTGATCCTTCATTGTTTCTCGACGCAGCACCCTTATCTGTGGTCTCAAGTAATATTTTAATTTGGGATTAGGGATTTGCGAAACTTATGCAATTCTTTTATTTTAATACCAAAAAAAAAAAAATACTATACAGTGCTACAATGAAAAAAAATTACAAAATTATGAAAAAGTATAACATTTTAATTATTAAAATGTATAAATTTTACCATTGAGTTTTAATTTATTTTTTCTGAGCTTACTGACAAGTAATTCCCCTTTTAACTTTTGAGAACTATTTGGTGGTCATTTATATAAGAGAATGAAATGATTATTTTATAAAAGAAAAATGTTTGGGAGCACTAAAAATAGCACTAATGATGTGACAGTGGGCCCCCGCTCACTTTTTATGTCTTGTTTTCACTTTTTTTTTTGTCATTTCCAATGCATTAGTGCTATTAGTGATGCAGTTTTTAATGGTTTAAATCATTATTATTTATAAAAATATTTATTTTTATGTTTCGTTAGCTTAAAAAACATAATGACAAATACATTATAAATAAGATTATCTTTTACCATTTTAATGAAGGACCATGCTAGGGAGCTTGAAAGCTCCCCCCCAGAATCCTCCTAATTCTGCGACGACGCCGTTTTTTATTTTTTATTTTTTATTTTTTTGCAGAAGAAGGAAGGTCAGAGAAGGAAGAAGAAGAAGGGAGAAAGAATGAGGAAGAGGAGGAAGGACTGGAGGGGGCCAACAGGACTAGAGGAGGAGGCAAAGGAGGTGCAGGGGCTGCGAGGCAGAGGCTGCGACGACGATCGGCGGAGGCGGGCCTGCGACGATCGGGCAGAGGCGACGGCGGAGGGCTGCGACGACCTGCCTCCTCTGTCTCTCTCTCTCCCTCTCCCTCTCCCTTTGTTTCAGCCTGTATGAAGAAGAAGACGAAGAAAGAAAGAAAAAAAAAAAAACCGAATGCCCAAAATGACGTCGTTTTGGGCATTTGGGGGATTGGGAGAGAAGATTCGAGCTCTGAAACATTATCCCAAAAAAAAATACTGTGCTCACGATCAGTTTATATGAAAGGCTAATGAATCAATATTCCAATCCATTCCTTTTCTTTTCATTTCGATGACCAAATAGAGCATTATTTGTTCTATTATTTTTAAAAAGTGATACAAAAATGATAAATCGTATTGGTTTAGCCAATCAAATTTAATTAGAATCGCTTGTATTTGTCCTAAGAGGATAATATAATTGGATAAATTATACTGATCAACTCTTTGATCTGAAAAAAACTACAATAAGTCTATAATTTTAATATAATTACAATAATTTTTTTTTTGTAAGGTTAAATGGATCAAATTAACATAAATTTTGTGAAAATACAAAGATAAATAAGATAAAATATATATTGTAGTGTAAAAGAAACGATAATATTATTTTCATCCGTATAATTATCAAATTATTAATGAATTAAATATTATGTTTTAAAATTATAATTATGTGAAAACTGTAGATGACATCAGCTTGCTTGGTTCTATTTTTTTAAAAACACTTTTCAGAAAATTTTACTTTCTTATTTTTCGTGTTTTTTTATTTTTACTGATTTTTTTAATATTTTAAGCAATTTTTTTACTTTTTAGACACACCTAACATAAATACACCTAAAAAGTAAAAAAAATTATAAAAAAAATCTTTTAAAAATTCACTAAATACCAAAAATATAAAAAAAAATACAAGAATTCAGTACATTGTTTTATATTTTATGTATTTATTAATTTTTAAAAATATTTTTTCACATTTTTTTATTTTTTAAATACATCTAAGTAAGGTACATCTAAAAAAGTAAAAAAAATATTTAAAATTTTAAAAATATTCACTAAAAATAAAAAAATACGAAAATCAAAATACTCAATTTTCTAAAAAAACTTAACTCAGAAAATTCAAACAAAAAACACTGATTAATCTTTTTTCAATCTAGTCTTATTAGCCAATATAATTTTTCTAGTGGATGTGTATAAAAGGAAATACGAAGGTAACGGACTAATGTTCCGTTTAAAACAAAAAAGGTAACGGACTAATGATTTAACAAGATCCAACCAAAGAGCTACTAATTGGCCAATCAGTGGACCCAAGCACGAGATGTTCTCCTTTGCCAAATTAGGAAAATATTGTCCAAATAAATAAATGGGCAAATTACTGTTTATCACCACTTTATATCTTTTAATTCAAAATTATAATAGTTAATCTTCTTATTTATAGTTTTGGGGGATGCACCAATAAATCCCAAATTAATAACTTATGCACTGTTTAGTCCTAAAAGTTTTTTTATAGACTGAAAGGTCCCATTACAATGTTAATAACATCAGATACAATGTTAATAACATCAGAGTCATGTTACAAACATTGGATTTCAAACCTCTAATGTTCATCAAATTTCAATAATGTTTGAAAATATAGGATGAAAAACATCTAATGTTCATCAGATTTCAATAAATTTTGAAATTATAGAATGAAACATCAGATCATTTACATCATTCACATCATGTTGATGTAAAAATGGGACTAAATGGAGCATAAGAAAACTTTTAGGACTAAATGGTTCAACGTTTCAAAAACTAGGACTTATGGGTAAATTTTCCTATAGTTTTTTCTATTTTTATTTTGGACCTTCATAACTAACCTACTGTTTTAGTTATAGGACAAGTTATAGTTTCTCATATTGAATCGATCACTCAATATTAATTTATCTCCCTTAACTAAAAATACTAATGTTTTATCAACTTAAATTATCAAATTGTATCAATATTGACCTTCCAAATAGATAATTGAAATGTTGTAAACTACTTAAAATAACATTAGTCATCTCTTCTTATTATTTTATCTTTTTCTCTCATCATTTTTCCACTCATATCAATGGTCATAATTGTTTATATTATGAATACCACTGTTGTTATTTTAGGCGCATCAAATTTTTGAGACGTCATGTATATATGTAGTAGATTCTTATCAAAAGGCTTTTTGTTGATTGATATAGTTTAATGTAACATAGTGTAATATTTTAAAATAGTTGATATTGAGTGCTCGTTTGATTTTCTCTCTTAGGATAAAAAATTACAAAATGACTACCAAAAAAAAAAAAAAAGTCAAAAAATCACAAAAGGATAAAAAGAAATTTATCATTCCAAAGCTAAAAAGTCAAAAAATCCAAATAAGAAAACCAAACAACCAAAAAAGTCTCGGGCTAAAATAAAAAAAAAAAATCAAAAAACCAACCAAAAAAATCATTGCCAAACGACCCTGAATAGTAGTTCAGGGAGTAAAGTGTAATTTAATCTTGGTTAAAAGGGTGCTTTCGTCTTGAACGTCCAGATATAAAAAATATAAAAAATTAAATAAAATTAAAAAAAAAAAAAAATGATGGAGGTTTCAGTGTTGCAACTTTTAGTTTAGGGAGATTGCAATTTTTTTAATGATTTTCGTGCTTTATCTGTTACTTTTGTATCTTTGTAAAGTCTCTCTTTTTTTTTTCTTCTTTTTTTTTTTTTTTTTGATATTATCAATTTTAAAATTTTATTGCAGTGCTATGAAATTCTGTTGTTTTCACCATTTTTTTGAAGAATTGAATAACAGTTTTGGAAAGATGAATTGTATTATTAGATAAACTTTTTGATCAAACAGATTTAGCAATGGGTTTAGATTATCTCCAGTCAAGCCAAGCCAATTGAACTGCTCAATTCAATCTATTGTGGGCCTATTTTAGGCTCATTTTGACCATTTGACCTTCTTTGAGAAGTTAGCTATTAATTGATTATTTAATTTTTTTTTAGTTATTTTAGACTAATTAAAATAGTTTTGTTTGGAATTTGTTTTTTATAATTGATTTAATGATTGTGACAGAAAAAGTAAAATATAATTATGAGTTGAATGTGACATTTTATTTTATTAATTAATTTAATTTATTTTATCTTTTAATAAATTAAAATAGAGAAAATTGGTCTAACATTCCTCTCTAACTTTTAGTAATGGGAGAGATTCACAATAAATTTTTTTGTAGTCTAAGGTTCCTCACTCATACCCATATATAACACTCACTCTTTCATTCTCTCTCATCTCTCTTTTTGCACCAAACAACTCCTCTCTCTCTCTCTCTCTCTCTCTCTTCTTTGTCTGCATTGTTGTTCAAAGCTTCATTGGCATTGACTACGACAGAGGAATTCGCACTAGCAAGATTTATAAAACTTTATCGATGGAGATCGTCAATTTATATAAAAATTCCTGATAATGCTTTATACAACAAAATTTATATGAAGCAGAACACTAGTCCTCATTGTTGTTCATGATAGTGCTTTATTTATCATTACTTCTCTTACTTTTTTCTTGTTTCTTTTTCATTGTCTTTATTGTTGATCTCAAAAAACTAAATTTTAAAATCTTCATACAACATTTAATGAAGAAATCTACATAAAAAGATGTATTTGGGAGCTGAGGACATGGATTCAGCAAATAAGGTGTTTGATGAAATGCCAATGAGAGAATGTCTAAGGTCCTTCAAATCAATCCAGAGAAATTTCAATCCAAACTAA